TTAACAGGAGAATGAGTAACCCTGTGATTAAAAAACAGCAAGGGAAAACATATTTAAAGAAGAGAGAAAGAAGTCATTGATGAGACTTTAAGATTACTTTCAGCATTCACTTCATTGAAAAATTTGAAGAAAAAATTACAGGAGAATGGAAGTCTTGTAAAAGGTTTGGGCTCTTGAGTTGTTTTGTTGAGGAGCTGGAAGAATTCCCAACTAATGTCAGACATAGTTCGTCTGAGAAGGGAAAAAAAACAGCCCGTTGTTTGTTCCCAGCATAAAAAGTAACAATTTTATAAGTAATTTTTAAGATTTCTCTGGAAAAAGAAAGTTTATAAAAAGGTGCAGACTGTTTCTTCCCTATCCCAGCCCTAAAACTTTGTTGTTTTTCTGAAGCTCTTCCTTTAACCTTCCAGAGGCACTCCATGGTGCGCTTACTTTCATGCCTTTTATAGTGCGGGCATTATGTAATAGTCGTATTATAATGCATCATTTGTATTTTTTTAAAACCTTTTGTTTTTGTTTTTTTTAATCTTGGACTACTTGACAAGCAAACTGCAATGAGTAAATGGTCAAATATTCAAAGTGCATCTTTCACAGGTGAGCCACATCTGCCACAGACAGAAGGGCCTTCTGTTTGAACAGATACTGAGCTCGGGCTATCTGTTGGATGCTCTCCTTATCATGCTAACATTAGAAATTATTTGCACTTCTTGTTGGATCATGAATGCAAAAAGTCCTGAAAGAAGTCAAGCAAGATTCAGTCTTGGCAAGTGTATTACTCTGGGACCAGTATTTGGTTTCTCCACTGATGGGTTGTCTGTTCAAACCAGCAACGTTCTTGCAACATCCAAGCCAGAACTTGTGTGATGCCTAAGGTCTTTACAAAGACAGGTAAGATACAAGTTAGTCCAGTATCAGCTATTTAGCTGAAGGTTACACAACACATAGATGTCTTCCAGGCTGGCCTATATTGCAGAGTGGAGGACTTTCGTGTTTGGGCAGACCTCTCACCTGCCTTGTGTGGAATAAGTTAGGATTTCGAGCAGTAATGTCATCTCTTCTCTTGTCCAAGGCAGGATCAGCTGTGTTGGTGTCCTTTCTGACAGAGGTTTGTCTGGCCTGTTTATAAAGTCTTCAGAGACTCTTCAGGCAGTCGTCTTCCCTTTTCGGAGGTTTAGGTCTAACAGCGATGCCTTAAAATATTTCCATAACCTGCTCTGTAAGGTTGTGTTCAACAGTGGTATCATGCCCTTCTAATCCGTTTGATGTCAGAATCCTCTCTCTGAGCAACTCCTGCATGGTCTTGGCTGTCTGTTTTCCTTCTCTGAAAACACCTTTCCTGGGAGTGGAGGATAGGGTAGACCATTTTATTTGGCCCCTTTGGACTCTTCCTCTTGTCTGTGCCATCATATAAAAATTTATTTTTTTAGTATTTTTTGTTTTGGCTTGGATGGCAGAAGAAATTTAGTCCACTGAAGCCATGCCATACGTTACTCCACAAGGTAAAAAGTAATTTTTACCTAAAGTTTATTTCCAGGGTGGGTTTGGTTTTTTTGTTTGGTTTGTTGGTTTTGTTGTTTTTTGTTTTTTTTAATCATGCAGTCTTTTCTTTTCTCAGTCTGTGTAAAGGGGAGCAAGTATGAAGCCTAACCTTACCTTTGGTTCAGGGAAAACTCAAAAAATCTGTGAACTCTATGTGTCTTGGCTGCCAGCCTCACGAATAGTATTACATGGATAGTCTTTGATTTGACTGTCTCTGCTTGGCTTAGAAAGTGAAGTTAGACTCTCTCCAGGCTAAAGCTTGCTGATCCAGGATTTAGGTGGCCTTTTAGCTCCGCTTGCAAAGCACTCTTAACATCTGAAGTTTGGCCTGTGTTCCAGCTTCAGGGTCGGGTGATTGCTGTGCTCGTCTCTTTTGCTTACATAGGACTGTTATCACTCATCTTGTGTTGCAAGTCAGAGAGATTAATTGTACAGACAGATGGCTTGAAACAGGCAGGTTATTACAATGATAGTCCTGCTATGTGTAGTGCATATGGATTCTGTGAGCTGCCATTCTCTCCTGCTATTTTCATGTCCTTTGCCACCTGGATTCTCAATTGACTGAGGCACAACTAGGCATGCACAAAAGGTTTTTTCTTCTTTCTTGACATATGCAAACCCCACCTTAGTTACAGAAGAACAGATACTGCTTTTGAAAGAAATCTGATTTGTTGTGTGTGGGCATGTGTGCACCCCAGAAGAGGAATTAATATAGCTGCTATATTTAACGTTGAGTATGTAGTTGTTTACTCTTGGGGTTGACTTGGCATGATTTGTGATGGTACGACATGGTGTTCTACCAAGCTCGCTTCTATTACTCAGATTCCTAGTGCTTTTTTTACAATTGTTTGGGTTTTTAAAATAATTGTTTAAAATAATACTTTAAGTTTTATAGGTTGTGGAAAGACCTCTGAAAATGTAGACTTAGTGCTCATCAATACAGGAAGGACTGTCTCAAATTAGAGAGGGACTGAAAAAGATATACTGAGAGATGAGTCAGATTCCTTTTCAAGTTAATGAAAGTAGCTCAGTTATCTAATGAAGATAACTATGAATATTAGTCTTCCTACCTATTTCATCCTTCTCTGAAGAAGAGGAATTGTGGAATTTGTCTCGCATCCTACAAGCTGGTCAGGGTGACTGTTCGCTTTTGCATTGTTTATGTCAATTAAGGAAAGATATTATCATAGAATCATAGAATGGTAGGGGTTGGAAGGGACCTTAAAGACCATCTGGTTCCAACCCCCCTGCCACGAGCAGGGACATCTTCCACTTTTTTTTGAGCTCCATCCAACCTGGCCTTGAACCCTGCCAGGGAGGGGGCAGCCACAGCTTCTCTGGGCAGCCTGTTCCAGTGCCTCACCACCCTCATGGTGAAGAATTTCTTCCTAATATCTGATCTAAATCTGCCCTCTTTTAGTTTACAGCCATTCCCCCTTGTCCTGTCACTACACACCCCTGTGAAAAGTCCCTCTCCATCCTTCCTGTAGGCCCCCTTCAGGTACTGGAAGGCTTCCCATCCTTTCAGGCCTGTGTTGAAATTGCAGTCTAGAAGCCATTACTAAAAACCGTGGTGGAATGCAGCAGGGTATTCAGCTTTCCTGTGGAGTCACCTGAATACCTGCAGAAAACCCTGTTTGGAACTGTGTGTGCAGTCAGAGACTGATTTGTTTAGCTCTGGTATTTTAAGGTTTGTAGAGAGGGGTTTGGGGATTTTGCTTTTAGTTTGTGCACCTGAGTAGGTTCTAAAGCTCATAGCTTTCACTGGAGTTAAATAGTAAATACTGTGTCTCTTGGAGTTGCTCGTTTATTCAGGTTTAATGATCCAAATGAAGCGCTTGCTTAATAAGTATGTTATTTAAAATGTGTTGGATATTTACACATTTGCTAGCTTTAAAGAGTTTTTAAGCATTACCCCTTTAATAATGATGTTTTAATGCTCTTGTGTTTAATTCCCTAGCTACCTTTTTCTTTGAAAACGTGAATGAAAGTAAAGCAAGCGAGCAGTCACTTTGTAAGACCTCTGCAAAGATATATATGAGGAAGGCTTACTCATAGCATCTACTTTTAGGATGCCTTTGGGAAATCAAATCTTAGAAGGCCAGGTTAGAAGCTGAGGTTCCATACATGTCAAGTGTTTTTGATGTTTCTAATTGCCCCTTGGAGACACGCCTAAATTTGATGTCTGAAATGGTCTCCATGAGTACCCCACACTGTGTCCCTGTTCTGTGTCTGCCAGCCTTTCAGTGCAGGGGATCAGGTATTTCTTCACGGTGGTATGAGAAAACATCCTGTTCCTCCCCAGTTTGATTAGAATATAACAAACTGAGGAAACTAAATAAAGCATTTTACTGTAAACTTTCTGAAAACAAGTACATTTATATTTTAACCCCCCCCGCCATGAATTATGCTATCTTTGTGTACAAATATTATTGACTAGTGTTCTTGTAGGAGATTGACTTATTAGCAGTAGTTTATTTTGTCCCTTATATGTTGGTTGGGTCTCTTTTATTAGAAACAGTTGTATATCCTGTAGACATCCGCAGACTTCTATGGTTAATATATTGTGAAACTTATTCCCGTTTTCAAGCTCATGCAGGTTACAAGTCCTGACGAAGTGAATGTTTTAAGTATGATGCACAGCTATTTGTGATATGAATCCCAGAGTATGTTCTTTTTTGCACTGTATTTCCAACTACAAAACAAAATATGGCTACAGACAATGCAGAAGAGTCTTTTCTGTATCTTAGAAACACGAATAAAAACCACGAAGTTTCCCTTGTTGCGGAACAGAACAGCAGTGTACTTTACATTTCGTACATTTACATTTCTGATGTTCCAGTCCAATTTCAGGCTGAGGGCTGTGCAGTACTTTCTGAAAAGAACGGCCCTGTTAAAATGGCAGGAACATGACTGTAAAATACACATTATATCTGTTTCAGTCTGCATGCAAGCAGTGACAGGTGCTCAGTGGTTGTCAGCATCCTTGTCAGCATGGAGGGTCCTTTGACATTAAAGTCACCAGCTTGGTCCTGATGCCGCGCGACTCTATTGGCAGCTCCATCACGCTGCGGGCGACCGGCGAATGTCAGCGCCTCCGCGGTGCCTCGGCTGCGTCGCCAGCCCTCTGCGTTTTCGGACTGGCCTTGCCTGCTGTTTGAGCCCACCACACTTCTTCAGCAGTTTTCCTGTGGGGAATGAGTGAATAGGTCATGGCCGGGTGGGTGTCTTTGGGGCAATGCAAGACCGCATCCAAGGTGACTTGCATAAAGGTTTGTAACGATTACCGTTGCTTTAAGCTAATCAATGGGTAGAGTACCCAGGGACTCATTAAGTGGCATTTGTGGTGTCAGTAACAGAGTTTTGAGCTATATTTCAGGAAACGCAGTGACAGCCTTTAATTGACCTCTTCTCTTTGTTTCACTTTCCGTGTTTCCTTCTGATGTGTTTCCCCGTGGCAGCAAACAGCCCTGCTCAGCATTCTGAACTTCTGCTCGGAGCTGCAGCACCTCAGCCTGGGCAGCTGCGTCATGGTGAGTACTGACACCATGCCGGGGGGGAGGGAGTGTGCGCGCACGCTTGCTTCCGAACTAGACCTAGGCTTATGTTTCACAAACACACGTTAAATGCTAGATTGACATTATACTAGGCTCTATTGAAAGGTCCAAGATGAATGCACTTAGTCATATACTTGAGGGTTATGTACTATTTTAGTAGGCTTAAAATATAACTTGTAGGCTTGCTTACAGTTCTTCAGCCTCTGCCTAAATTTTTGGACACTCTTTATGCGCATAATCACTTTTTCTTTCCAAAACTAATAATCAAGACTTAACTTATTTTTATTCAGACCAAATCATCATTCCTAGCAGATTAATGCTTGTGTCTGACCCTACAGTAATAACCGCGAGAGAAATATTTTCAGCTAAAGCCGTTTGAGTCATAGACTTGCTGGGTGCGCACACTGATTTAAAGAAAGAGTGCAGGGACAACAGTTCCTGCAGGGCGCTCATCTGAGCTGTGTTGCACGTGGATGCCAGAGCTGTACGTCGTGGGGTTGTGGCTTTCTGCGGTGCCCGGTGGTAGGCACGCCGCAGAACTCATCAGGAAGATGCGGCTGACCTTCCTCGTGGCTCAGGAAGCAAACAAAAATGCAGAGTTGGCTCGGCCTTCCCTGCTTTGACTCATGGACAGGAGAGGAAGGCATTGTGACTACATTTTTCCAACAGTCCTTGTCTTACTACAATTTTTGATAGTGGATTTCATTCCTTTCACCTGTGTTGTGGGACCCTGTTTCAGTCCCTTTGGCTTGCCCAAGGTAACTAATAAGACTTCCATAAGGAAATGCAGCAACTGATCACCTAGAATGGAAGTAAGCACATTCTTCAGTCTGCATGTGCTTATGGTTGCAGTGTCTATGGTCATAAACACAGTTTTAAGCATCTTTTGAAGGAAAGGCAACAGTGAAGAAAAAAGAGCTTTTCAAAGAAAATAAACTTTTCACTACATTGTCACTGATCCTTAGTATTAAGTGAATTTAGAAACACCTGTGTCTGGGGTTGATTGGAAATTTATTCTGTTTTTGTCCTTTGTGAAAGTAGACCTCGCTGTACTCTACAATGAGTAGTTTTCAGAGCTCTTTAGAAATTACAAAAGCTGAAGACAGATCTGTAGGTGTGTTAGGAAGCAAATCTTGAAGCACCTATGTATGTCTGGAAAGATGGTATACGTGACAAAGTGTTTGCTTTCCTTGTAGATTGAAGACTATGATCTTGTAGCAAGCATGATGGGAGCAAAATGCAAAAAGCTTCGCAGTCTGGATTTGTGGAGATGTAAAAACATAACTGAAAGTGGAATAGCGGAATTGGCTTCAGGCTGCCAGCTTTTGGAGGAACTTGATCTTGGCTGGTGCCCTACGTTACAGAGCAGTACAGGCTGTTTCACAAACCTTGCACGTAAACTCCCGAACTTGCAAAAGCTTTTTCTTACGGCCAACAGGTCTGTGTGTGACACAGACATTGAGGAGCTTGCTGTTAACTGCACGCATTTACGGCAGCTGGATATATTGGGTAAGAAGATGTAGGAATACTGGTATTTATCTTACTGTGTCTCAAAAGCCTTGCGGTTAAGGAGGAGTCCTTAAGACAAAACTGTCTTCTAGACATATTTTAAAATAAATATTTGTTAAAATTACAGTTTAGCATATGAAAATAACCGAAGTTTTATTCTCTTCATTGAGTTTCTGATTTAGAATCCAGTGGATTTTTGCCAACTATGTAATTTGACTGCTTAATTCCTTAAACTGAGATCTAAGTGCAAGATTTAAATTTTAGTTTTATGACCATTAGTTTTTTTTAACTAAAATCTTTCTCTTTCAACTGTCAGAAGATCCACTTTCTTCTCCTTCTTTCTGCTCATTTGTTGTTTTATCTCCGTGAACTGTGACAAAGTATATTTATAGTGCGAGTCTGATCAATAAACAGATTTCTGCTTTTACACAATACAGATACACCAAGCAATATTGAATTTCTTTGTCACTTTTACGAGGAAGGGTATTTGACTCATGAAAAGGTAATTAACAGCAAAACTTAAAATGGACTTTCTAGTAAGGTAGGAAGGAAGTGATCAAGGGCAAAAAGCATAGCAAATCTTAAATTTCTAATCCCCTGCAGCTTCTATAGTTAGTATAGTTAGTTTTAGAAATCTCAAGTAAATAGACATTGGACTCTTGAGTAAGGACTTTGAGAAATGTAGTTTTGCATGATACTGAATTTGTTCTTCTTATGGTGGAATATGAGATTTTACAATAATGTAGGACAGCAGGGGTATTTGTGACATCAATGTGGGAGAAGTTTCTTCATGCTTTTACTGACTGAATTTCACAGGTTAGTTGAAAAGGAAGATTTAAATGAAAGGGAATAAAGTAGCCACACTGTGTATTTTTAACATTTAATAGATTTAATGGAAATATTACATTGAGGTTGAGAGATATGCTGGAAAAAACTGAGAGCCGTCAACTCAAATAATGTTCCAAGCAAGTCTAAGGCTATCAGCATTCCTCATTGCAAAAAATTTACTGTATGGCTTCAGATTGTCAGTTATAGTTAGTACACTCTTCTGCCATGAAGTATGGTTTTACTCATCTCTGACTGAGAAAGTTGCCTTCTGACCAACATGGGAAAGGAGAATGAACGGAAAAAAACTTAACTCCACCTGGTACAGATTGTAGAGGCTTGATGTAATGTCCACAGGAGGTAATGTGTTTTGCGTATGCTTAAGGAAATCTCTTTTGTAGCTAAGATTATCAAGGGCACATTTCGCTATTGAAACATAAAAAATTCCCAAATGGCACAGTGAATGCAGTCATTCACAAACATGTGTGTTCTGCTGACCACCCACTTGTATTACAATGGCACTGTGACTGCCCACAGAGCAGTCTGACCTTCTCGCCACACCAGAGCTGCCCAGTGAATGGCTTGGCTGTGTGTCTGCTGCTCCTGTTGCCTCTCTGCCGGCAGTGAAGGTTTGTTGCCACGCTTCTTGAGCGTTTGAATTCATGTTTGAATTGAATTTGACATCTTACTGAAGTTTTTGTGGAAAAATAATGTGTGAATGTGGAAGAGGAATTTGTTCTGTTCCCTGGGTGCTTACCAGTATTCCTGAGTCAAATGGGTTTGTAATCAACCTTTCCCAGTGAGACTGCATGTTTGGTTCAGATAACGTGCTCTCCAGAGGATATCCAGTTGAATTATCTGCGAGATGTTACCAAAAACCTTAATATCCACCTTCCAGACCTCACATTGTTCCTTCAGAGGAATACTTAGTGTGTGTGGGGGGGAAGGTCATCTTCTGCTGTAAAGAAGTCAGTACGAGGTGATACGATACATGTGAAGGAGTTACTCAGCTTTTTTGGCAACAGCAAGGAAACCGTGTTCATTTCCTTGTCAGAATATGGGAACCGTTACAGTTTGTGGTTAAAAGAAAGAGTTGTCAAGTAGAACCACATTGGGTCACCTGGAGGTGAAGTTCCCGGGTGTTCCCAAGTAAGTGCAGAAGTTTCTGTTGTCTGAGTTAAAGAATGAGTCTCTTGCGGTGCAGAAGTACCAAGAAAGTCATAAATCTCTGTATGTGCTCAAACTTTTGGTGGATGATGTAGGGCCATCCTGTTACTGTAAGCCACATAAGTAACTTAATAGACATTTGTTCTCTTGAAGAGGGGTGACAGCAGGTCTGAAGCTGTTAGAGGCTTGAGGTCAGTGCTCAGCTTTGCAACCTTGAACAACGGGTATGCGCTATGGTGTGAATGAACGAGATGTTCATTATGTCCTTTGTCATCTCCCAAGTACAGAAACATCTGGCTTGTTCGTGCCTTGTGAAGGATGTAGAAGTATTGTTGCTAGGTTAGTGGCGAATGCTGTAAGGGAGCTTCTTTTGCTTCAACAAAGCTGTGTAAAAGCTTGAGGGTTTTTGCTACATACAGGCACTTACCGAAGTAGGGATCAGAATGTCTTACCTTGCACTGTCGTCACCAGCGCTCCTGATACTATACTGGTTTCTCTTGGCGGTTGTTAGAACTTGTAAACTTGTCAGCGAAAACTTCTCGTTTCAGTTATAGACTATTTATCACCACAACAGCTTCAGGACTGGGGGAGTCTAAGCCTCTGAAAGAAGTCTTGCTAAACTGTGTGTCATTCAGGTGTTACAAAATGGATGTTATATATAGCCTGGATGCTGTTTTCAGGTGGTAGGTCCTGCAGCTTGCTACCCCTCTGTCCTTTCCTTAGTCTCTCCATTATTGTTTGGCAGTTCCCTCATTACAGAATCAGAGGACTCCATAGAAGATGAAAATTGCCAGTTTTCAAAGACTCCATAAAATTAGTGGCCCGTGTAAAGCATTGTTTGTTGGGTGGCCGTGTTTGTGGTGTGCAACACGTACTTCAGGAAGTAAATTTCAGTTTAAAAATATAAATCATGAGTTGGAACCATATCTGCTGTACTATAATACAATCTGGAAGGGGAAGCATGATGTAAGTGTCACTGAGTACATGAGAGTGTGCTTCTTCAAGTTTTAGTTCTGACCTTTCTTTTACCCATTAGATACTGAGCTGCCTGCTGACAAGTATCGTTTCCTTCCCTGCCCACATCCTTTCCACTGACTGACGTGGTGGGTTTCCACCTTGTGGTAGAATGATCTGGCTGTGATCAGCTAGGAGTTCTGTAGTGGTGAAGTACATCATCGAGTGCTATCAAAAGTGACATGGACACCTCTACACCTGTAGTTAAAAACTGTCTTCAAACTGTGATCAGTGTTGAGCAGTGTGACGATTCAGATGACAACCTGAATTGTCAATGCCGAAAGCTTTTCTTGTACATTGTATCAGCTGCTTAGTTATGTTGCTGTGGGGCTGCCAGCTGCTGTCAAGGATGAAGAAGTCATCTTCGCCTTGCTCCCCAAAAGTCCTGACTTCCTCTGTCCTGCACAAAAAGAGTAATGATAAATAGACACTTTTGTTACTGCAAAATTCATGTATTCCTATCTACATACCAACACCTCCCACACCTTCCTGAGCAACAGAAAACCCAACTACCCCCTTGCCAGCTGTCAAAATTTTCAGCTTTATCTTGAGAGCATCAACACGTAGTTAGTCAATTCAAACATGAAAATGTGTAGCGTGTTGAAGTTTGGAATTTGAGTTATGTGCAATAGATTGAATAAAATGTAAAGACTAAAAGGCTGATCTGGCTGGTCTAGGGGAGGAAAGGAAAAGTAAGTACATTTGAGGGATTGGTGCTAGTTATTTTCAGGGTCTCTACTCCTTAATATCACTTGGTGTGTAGTAATATCCCTTGCCCTAGAAATTGAGGATCTGGCAATTTTTATAGCTATCATACACAGGTCACCTCAACAGCTCTAGAATTTGAAGACTTGGTTATATGACAGATATAAATGACATCATTTACAACTAATAAAAATAATTGTTTTAGCGAAGAAATTGTCACTCAGAAGTGCCTTTTACAAGGGTGATACCAGAGAATTTTTCCAGGGAATAAACTAAATGACAAAATTAAATAGCAGGTTTTACTTTACGGGCTATGTATTTATTCTGAGAAATGGCAGATGAGTCCACGTAGGAAAAGTTGTAATAAGCAGCAAAGCCTCCAAACTCTAGAAGAATGCACTAGATACGTAACTAGCAGGATAAGTTTTCAGTCTTTCAGAGGCAAAGGAAAACGTGCTGTATTACACTTCTGAAATGCTTTTGAAGTGCTTTTAGGAAATTAGTGATATCACTAATAGTACATTGTATAAATAAAAGTAAGGCTGCAGATGATGTTTTCTTATCCCCTGGTGTGAACAACCAAATCCCAACTAGATTACTGACCTTTTTAGCGCTTAGAAAAAGGTATTTTGTAACATAAAATTTTAAGTCTGAGGAGTAAAACTGAAACAGGTGCAGCAAAGCATGTAATTTAGGATGGCCTATTTAGTTTACAAATCCATTAAAAATCTTAGTCTTAGATGAAATAGTAGGAGAACTGTCGAAGTTCAGGTAGGAAGGAATGAAGAACATCCTACACAAAAAATCTGTGGCTAGGCATCTAAATCTAGCATTTTTGTAGAAACACACATTTGGATTTTGAAGCTTAAAAACTGTGATGTGTAAACGAGACTGGTTTTAAATGAAGGTGCTGATGCAGTAGCAATTTTGAGGCTTGGTGGAAAAAAAGATGAGTAGCATAATGTGGTGTTCCTGGAGTTTTGGCTGGAATGGTAGAACAGGTCCTGCTGGTAGGACAGTGGTACTATGATAAAATTATGGTCAAGGGAAGTAAATAACTAAAGCGTATTACAGAATTTCTGAGTATGGTCATAGGGACTGTTACATCAACCACCAGACGGTTGCGGTGACAGTGATCGTATAATGATAAGGGAGTTAAAAATCACTTATAGTAATGACAAGCTTTGATTAACTTTGCGTAAATGAGGTAAAATATGGTGGCATGATAGCAAAGACTGTTTTCAGGTGATGTTAAATGATGTCTCAAAGCAACTAATCCAAGAGCCTACTACAGAAGAAGTGAAGACCACACTTAGATACCCACTTGCTTACAAAGAAGAGTACAGGAGACTACTAGAAACAGAGGCATCTTTCTGGAAATGAATCCTGTTCAGAGAAGAAAAAAAAGATGATGAACTGTAGAAACTGGAACAAAATCACAGTAAGGCAGAATGAGATACTGAGGAACCATTGGCTAAAAGTAAATGCTAAAACTGTATTTCAGATATGTTAGAAGTTTACAGGAAGTTTACAGAAGTTTACAGGAGAGTAACTGAGGCTGGTAGATATTCCAGGTGTAAAGGATCGCTCCGATATGAACAGGCCATTGCAGGAGGGCTGTTGTCTGTCCATTCGTGTTTGTGGCCAGGGGGATCAAACAGGCTGCTACATCAGAGCCATTCTTTCCAGGAGATTAGCCTGGAAAGATGCCTTAAATTGGAATGCCAATACAGAAAGCTTTTGAACAAATCAATACATTGAACAATAATTAATTGTTAGGACTAAGTGGTATTTATGCAGTAGTTCTAAATAAGCTTAAGTATAGGTCTGTGGAAATCTTATTTCTGGTATGTGATCTGTCACTTAAATCAGCCTCAGCGCTGGAGGAATGAAGGGTTACGAACATCTTCTGTGCAGGGTGCAGGGTAGAAGCTACAACACAGTAAGGTTGTCTTGTGCTCTGTGTAAACCAGTGGCAACCATAAAGTCAGTCAGTCAGTGGACATGAAGGCCATTACAATATTTTGAAGGAGACCTGCATCTCTGTCAGGACAGGATAGTTTCTGCCTCTCCGATCTTTTAGAATTCTTTGGAGTTCTTGGTGAAAGTGGGCATTGATCCAGTCCGTAGGGGGTTGGATTTTCAAAAGCTTTAGCCAGGATTGTTCTGCTTTTGTAAGTTAGCTGTCTTCTGGATTGTGAGGAGTGTTTCAAAGATAGACAGCAGAGGATGAGAACATGTCGACTCTTTTCACAATGAGGTTACGTCACTGCTGTGGTCGTCAAGGGTCTGTACTGATCTGTTTGGAAGTAATCCAGGCAGAGGGGTGAATAATGCTGTACCAGAGGGTAATGCACAGATACTCAGGGTAGAAAAATCTTAAGCTGAAGAACTTAATGCTGAAAAATTGCAGTGTGATCTTACAGTACTTAGTAAACAGTTGATAAAGCAGGAGGAAAACTGTTCATCAAGTGCAAAGTGATCACATGAGGCAAAACAACATTAGCTAAGTGTGTGGGGTGTGGCTTTATATTAATTACTGTTTTGCAGGGAAGAGGTCCTGTGGACAATTTTCAGAAAACATCAGCTCATTGCTCAGCATCATTTTAACAGACACAGGTTAGGATTTCTTAGGAAAGAAATTGAGAAAACACCCTAAGACCTTGCTATACAATTACTGACTTTGCACTCAGTGCACTTTATAGTTTTGGTCATCCAATTTCAGAAGTACTAAATGAGTGCTGAAGCAAGACAACAGGGATAATCTGTGATACAAAAGAGTCTGGAAAACAGACAGCCTTGAGAGAACAGAAGAGATGTCCATAGGGTTATGAATGGTATGGAAATAGTGGACTAGGAATGATCTCTCACTACTTCTTTATGGTTCATTGCCCCTTAATTATTGCAATTAATAGGCAGTGGGCTTAAGGCTGATATTTTTCTTTCCTTTGTTTTTTTTTACATTATATACTTAAGCTTTAGAACTCGTGGAAGGGCCATAAGTATAAAGAAGTTTAGAAAAGTAGTAGCATTCATGAAAGGTAGCTTCAGAAATCCCTAAACTGATAATTTTTGGCAGAGGATCCACTAGTGAAAAGCTGCTATAAAAATCTGCTCTTGGTTGGTTTTTTTTTCGCTTTTGCCTTTTTTTTTTTTTTTTTTTTTTTTTTTTGGAAAGCATTAGCGGCCCTGACCACAGACAAGATCCTGGAGTAGGTGGCTTTTTGGGGCGCAGTTCAGCTCAAGATGGAGCGGTGTAAGTTGAAGTGTCTGCCAGCAGGTGTCTGCAGTCCCGTTGGATGTATGGACTCTTTTTAGAGCCAGGAGAGCTTGATGAGCAATTTAGCCTGCTGTAGACATCCAGGCTTGGTTCACTTGCCCAGAGTAACCTGCCTGGCTTCCAGCTGTTCCCGTAAGGCATGGATGATCTCCTCTGAGTCCAATGTCCTGTCTGCCAGCTCTGCGTGGGCGTCCTACGCGGTGTAAGGAAGCCCAAGGGGCACCAGTTGCTTCAGGCAACTGAACGGATGGAGTTACTTAAATGGTTGGTTTAGGAAAACACAACAGGCTTCTTAAAGGCAAATTTCTGCACTGTCTCTGAGAAGTTTTTAATTTGAAATCTAATTGAAGTGATCTAAACAAAATTTGCATTATAGTAGCACTTTTCTCATGACACAGCATTAGCAGCTTAAAAAAAAAAAGGCTATTCTCAGTGACTATAGAATTTGTTTTGTTTTTCTTTTTTTGTTTTTGCACAGGAACGAGGATGGTAAGCCCTGCATCTTTAAGAAAATTGCTGGAGTCTTGCAAAGATCTTTCTTTACTCGATGTGTCCTTCTGTTCACAGATTGATAATAGAGTTGTCCTAGAACTGAATGCCAACTTTCCTAACGTGTTCATAAAAAAGAGTTTCACCCAGTGACTGACTGCATATGCTGCTGTGGAATTCATTTGACAGAGTTGCTTCCTGTGAATTTGTGCTGACTTTTTTTTTTTTAAGAAGAATATAAATGCCCTGTGAAATAGTGGAAAGTATTACTTGTCTACACAACTGGGTAAAATACATTTATATACATGATGCATTTCTTAAAGAGTTGATATTGTACCTAAGAATTGTTTTACTATGTGTTAATTGATAGCACTGCATGTTTTTAAATACCAGCCATATGTGTGGCTTTAACGAGAAGAAAATGAAAAATGTCTTCTTAAGTGTCCCTTTATAGGGTGTTACACACAATAAACTATGTTAATATCCAGGTGAAAGCAGAAGTTCATAATTTAGCAGTAAGAAAAAGATGGGTGCTTCCTTTTTATGTATATGTGTTTGTGTATATATAAATGTATATAGATGTATTTGTATATACATACACAGATAGTGTAGCATTCTAGTTTGGGCTGCAGCATCTGAAGCTGTGATCTGGCCTTTAGTAAGCTGTTTGAAAACCTGCTTAGGCTTGTCTAAGAATGGATTGCAAAGACACTTTGTCGTCTTCATTTTTTTGGCAGTGAATTGTATCTGATACATTTTTCTCCCTTCCTCCACCTGAAATAGATGTAGTGATGTTTTACAGTCCAGCCTAAGCGACACAGCAGATAAATGCAAGAACTTTCCACCTGAACTTAGAGCAGAAGCGAAAGAGAAAATTGCCAGCTGCTTCTTCATATTGGATATAAAGGTTGAGCCAGGTACTTAGTGTCATAACTAGTAATGTGTAGAAGACTCCACAGCAATTTTCTTCTCAAATTTCTGTCATGGTCAAGACCTGATTTGTGATACATGTGGTTATCATGCAGAGTATCACAAAACAATAGAACTTAGGGTAATGGGTCAGCAACTGTCCGTTACATTGGCATCGAATCTACCGTCAAGTCTAAAACCAAACATTTTGTTCATTAAAACAGCAATGAAAATATAGTGAGTTTGAAACAGGGGCAGTGATTTGGTGATTTAATAATCACCCAACCTTAGCACTGGATTTGTTTTGGGTTTGATGTCTTTTTGTTTTTCTGAGAGGTGATCGCTCAAAGTATTGTTGCGCTCTCTCTCTTTAACAGTCTTTAGCCTCTGGAGAAGGAAGACTCTGTCGATGGACAAATTCTAGAGGTTTCTTCCTTTTGCACTGCCTTGGATGAAGTTTTTCTCTTCTGCTTCTTGAATACCACTGCTAGAGTGTGTTGCTATGTACAGCTTGAGTTTAGAATTTTACCTTTTCAGCTATTGTTGATGAATATGGACTGTGAAATATAGCCTGTCATTTGATATCGACTCCACTGTTCTTGTATTGATGGCACTTACTACCGGCTAGAGTAAGAAATATTTTGTCTGGCAGAGGTACATTATTGCACCGAAGATCACTGGCAAAGAATGCTTCAGTTTATGCAGTAAATAACCAACCGCTGCTGGAGGACTGCTACGAATCATTAAAGATTTGATGATCTCTGTGACTCCTGAATGAATGCTTTGAACTCTTTGTGCTGGTGCCAATACTTTATAAACCATGTCATGAAACAGCTACAGAACACTTATTTTATAAAAAGACTTTTTTCTTCAGATTTTTAAATTTTACAGAATCTTTTGGGAATTCCAGATCCAAAGAAGAGCATGCACAGTTGGCTTTTTGATGTTTCCTCCATACAGATAGCACTATGGGATTTCCAACTAGATTATGCCATTCCATTTTTTTTTTTTTTTTCTCTTTCGTTTCAGAAAACTGGACATTGTCAGAGATCTGTAGATTGATTTACACATTTTTTCCACACTGACAGATGTCAGCTTGGGTGTAATTCCACATGAGACCTCATTTCTTTCAATCAGGTTTGGGTTGATTTATTTTTCTGGGAGCTTAACTTTTACCTTTTTTTATCTACAAGTAATATTTTTCATTGTAATAGAGTATTAAACATTATTGTTTTAGTTATAGGAGAACACAGGTTCAGATAATGGGAGTTTACAAAGAACAGTATTTCAAAACATGTTTTTGTTGTGAAATTTCATCTCTCAGGGTGCATCTGTGTTTATCTCCTTTTTTTCTGGAGAGATCCTTCTTGTTTGTTTTTCACTGTAAAGAGAATGGGATGTGGATGTCATGATAGCCATTGTGCCTTCAAACTGGTAAACTTGGTAAATAATACAGTTTCACTTGTACAGCATCAGTGAATCAAATAAGTGTTTTTGTAATCATATACATGTAAAGGATTTCATTCTCTGTTGCTTTTCAGGTAGTATAAAGGAGGTTTAAATTGGTGTTTTGTTCATACTAAAGAATTTTTTTTTTCTTATGCCTTCTATTTGAAATTGGTTTTGTCAGGAATTCTCTACTGTCACTTGAAAGATGAATTGAAGTCTCCTTTTTCTTAGGACTATTCAAAACTTAGCTATTGCAAACACATGCTTAATTGAAATAGCTGAGAAATAATTGGGATAGACTTCTGTCTGTAGTTGTAGACTTTAACCTTCAGTCAGTGGGTAAGAAGCTCTTCTGGCTGTGGCTTTATACGTCGAAGAAGTCTTCCATCAAAGAGAGGGTAGACGAGACTTGACATTTTTGTATTTCCAGGGTAAAGAAAACAACGTGCTTTTAGACCTTCCTTATACATCGCAAAGAAGCAAGAATAGACAACTGTCTTTTTAGTTCTGCTATTTTATACTTGTGTGTTTATATCTATTCATACATATGTATGTATAAATTATATATACACACACGTATGTTTGTACATATGAATATTTTTTGTATGTGTGTACATATTAATGCATATATGTATAAATCTCAAAGTTTTTCATGTAGGAATTACTTTTGTGAAGTGAATGTAATAGCAAAAGATGTTTCATAGCAGTTCTGTTTTCAGCTGTTGTTTTACTGTACCGGGAGACTGAGTTCCTCTCCACCCGCGCAGAAGGAAAAGCCGGGGCAGGAGTTATGCCGAAGTGCCTTTTGGTTTGTCTACACATGAAAGGTGTTACAGGGTATGGTGGAGTGTGAATGCAAGGTCTGATAACTACTGTGGACTGTCTCCTCGTGAAGCAGTCATACAGAGGGAAATTCGTTCTACTTACATTTAATCCAACATGAATGATGGCAGTTCCTCAGCTGGAGGGATTTAATTATTCTGGTATTGGGTTGTCATCTCCAACACTAGACCGTCCCTCGGTCATGTTATCTAAATTCTGCTTTTAAGGGTATTCCATTTTTTATCTTGTCCTCTGATCTTGTCTGTCTTTCTGAAGCATTGTGAAAGATGTGCTGTGGCAACAGATGTTAAAACAACGTTGGTAACGTGTTCAAAAAAAAGAGTCTTGCTCTGAAGTGCTCCTGTTCTTAAACTAAAGGAAGTCTTCTATACTATCTGTGTGAAATTGGTGTAGGATGGTGTGTAGGTAGAAATGTCACTCTTTTGGTCATTTTAAAAATTAATGTGATAATTTTACCGTTTAAAGCATCTTCCCAACTCTTGAAGGCTTCAATTCAATGGTGCACTTGTATTCATAATTCTGAGCTGTCTGGCTAGATGGCTCTAAGGAGATGGATGAGGTTTCTGTTGTTTAAATTATGCACATGATTAAGTACATTAGTGAGCGGGACTTATATGGAAGAACAGTTTTGCTTAGGAGTTCGGACCTTATAATCCCCATGTACTTGGAGGTGCGAGTTTTAGACCAAAAAAAAAAAAAGGAAGACTGTTGTATTTACTACCTGGTTCTTTCCTTGGGATTCTCATGTCAACTTTTCCAGATACAAGATGTCCAGTAATCGTGGCACACAGTGAATAGAATTCATCTCGCTGAATGTTAGCTCGCTGAAAGTTAGACATCTACTTAAAGGGAGGAATCTGGGCACCTCTAGAGAGCTGTTAATCTCCTACTAAGATGGATGTTTAAGGAAAGTAGAATGAATCATGTTCTGGAGAACCTCTCTGGAGGCTGTGGAAGCTGTGATTTAGCTCAGGTTAGATACTTGGCTTTAGAACACGAAACTGAGATTAATTCCATCCAGCGCTGTACTACCTGTCTAGGAATAGCAAAAACCAAGACTGGAACAACATCCATCCCCAAACCTCAAAACCCTCCAAAATCCATCCAGAAAGAAGCAAACTGAGGAGATGCTTACAACTTGAAAAGTCAGTGTTTTAAATGCCAGTGTCTACTTCTGCCCCTGAATCCCTTGAATCCCTTGCAGTGCTGGTGGTATGTCTTCCTTTTTTTTTGGTGGAAATGCATCCCCTTGCCCTGTTCTGAAATCCTAGCTGGCAGTATGTATAGTTCTGTAAATGCATGAAACTAACGGGCAAACATAATTAATGTATTGCAGCTATTTTGATAATCTTTCATGTTGCTATAATGAAGACTATGACTAGTTTAACTGCTCCCCTGTCGTTAGAAATGTTACCCGCTGTGCATTTGCAAAAATTGTGTGTTTAGTCCTGGTTCTTACTGTGTGTACTTACTGCATCTTGTGGCATATGTTTCCCACATGGCATCTGCAGGACTACTAAATTTAAAAAAAACTAGATAAAATGTAGCATTTTATTGTTGTATGGAGTATGGGGGTGACTTTTGTATATTGATTTACATGTTCATTATTACTCTTTTGCAATGATTCCGTAAAGGTGTAGCTTTTGAAATTACTAGGCTAGAAATTCCTGGTTTAATGCATCTGTACGTGCTGTGTTAGACACAGTCAACATTTGTCCCACATGAAGGCATTTGTCCTTCACGGAGATGATGATTTCTGTGATTTTAGATTTCTGACTTGATAATGAAATCCAGGAAGGGCTCTTTATTAAGTATTACCAGGCGTGGGACAGGTCGTGGTAACTGATGTGAGGAAGGGCTGAGGCACCTGTCTTGTGTGTTACAGAGCCTCGTGATCTCCAACGAAGGGCCTCAGCAAGAGGTGGCTCTTTTTAAGAAGATTCAGCCTCGGCAGTAGTGGGCAGTGGTGAGATTTTCCTTTTTAGCCAATGGACTAAATACTGTTGTTTTGGTTGGAGTTATGTAGCTCTGGTTTCTCCCTGTCTTGTTTTCATTTAAGAATGATAAATGGCACAGTTAGGACAGACACCCTAAATTG